ACGCCTCAACTTACCTTTAGTAACGCGAACTTTGGACCGGTGAAGCGACTGACTCGCCGTTTTCCGGCCCAACAATAATTAAAATCAATTATTTTAAGAAAATTTATTAAGTAAACTTGTTTTTTATATTTTTAAATATATTAATATGGATTTTTATCTTATTTTATTAATTAGTTATTAAAATATTACAAAAGTAAAAATTAATATAAAGTATAAGTTTTTTTGTTACAGACTATATATTATTTAATAATTCAAATATAATATAGTTTTTAAAAAATATTTAGATTCAATTTCATTATATATATAATTCAAACCAATATTAGATTTATATTGGTTCAAATGTTACTTTTATATTAAAATATTTAATAGTATTAGAAAAGATCAATCAATTTATTAATATTATTAATAATATTTTTCTTAAAAATAATTACAAACCAATTTATACATTTGACAATTAATAAAATTAATATGTAATATTATTAACAATATCTTTTTTAAAGCTAATTTCTTTAACTGGTTTAAAGTATTAACTGAGACTTTAACTTATCTATATAAATCAATTTGAATATTTCATTATGCTATAGCAAATATTTATCTTTTTACTAATATTAAATAAAACAATAATTTTCTTAACATTTTAATAAAATAATTATTCAGAATACTATTAAAACAAAATTATTCAATAACTTCTTCTCTATTATTATATAAATTTCAATCACTAATAATCTATTAACTACAGTAGCATGGAATACTGGAGTTAGTCTCTATAATAATATTCCATAATAACTTGCTCCTTGCAATAATGGACCAGCAGGTTTAGGCGGATTTAAACTAGTGGTAGGATTCCCCCCTTGCGAAAGTCCCACCTGGAGTGTGAATACATCTACGTGATAGTTGAACGCATAGCCAGATTACATTAGTGGTTAGTGTAGCTAGTCTTATAGAAATATATGTACTAATGCAGTGTTAAGCTGCAGATTAACTGTAGAAGACATAATGGTTGTAACACAACTTTATTCAAAAACCGTTACGGTTAATTTGTAAAAGACACTTGGTGTCTATCTAGATATTATATATCAATAAAGATTACATGCTGTGCGCACGTTTCACTATAAAAAAAAAAAAAATTAACTACAGTAGCAAACTCTTATATTCAAAACAGATATAACTTTTTCAAATACATTATCAAACTAATATCTAATTACTTCAAATTTCTTTTATCCAATGCTAAGTAGATAATTATAATTGCTGAGCTATTACTATAAGCAAGTTAATATTTAACTTATTGTATTTTTATACATAAGAGATATTTTATCTTTCACAATATATACCCAGTATTATACAAATTAATAAAGAAATAATGTTTATCTACAAAATAATAATAATAATAATTTATAGACATGTTTTTTTTATTTTAATTGTAAATTTTTTTTAAAAAAAAAATAATAATAATGATTAATCCGACAAGAATAATTAGGATAATGATTGCAAAGTGTGTTCGTTTTAAGTGTAAAGTATTATAAACTTGTGTTTTATTTTTATTTATTAGTTTTATTTATTTATTTTAGTTTAACCCAATGGTCACGTGATCTGACAAGCAGTGCCTCTATTACCTATCTATAAACATTTAGTGTAAACCCATACAGCCAAATAATGCAAACCTATTTAGCTATCGCTTAACGTATGATGACGTGATCCGCAAACAAGCGACAGACTCATTGTTTCTCCATTACAATATTACATCAGTTTTTGAAAAATAAATACATAATTCAATAGCATTGAGCTAGGGGTTCGTTTTTTAAAAAGTAACTTATTGTTGAAGAAATATATATATATATATTATAAGTACTTTTTGTTAAAAACATATATGGGTTGGTACACAACAAAACCATGCTTTGAAAGGTTTTAACAAAAATTGAAATTTTTAGTGGATTATACTCCCAAGAACGTCCTTTATCTGTGATAAAAGTTTGGATATATTAATATATTATAATTTGGTACAATCTTGCGCGCAGTTTTTTACTTTTATATGGCTCGATATACTGTATATAAATTTAAATTGATAATCGTCGATATCTCCAAATAAGGATTTTGTCTCAGAGCATGAATTTGCTGTGTACCAACCCATATGGACTTCACAATAAATGAGATTTTATTAAAAATCATAAGCCATATTTAGATTCTGTTATGGGAATTGATTATAAATTTATGTTGATGCAAACTTACTCATAATCACAAATATACGTATGTATAGATACGGCATATACAGTATACCAAATATATTTTTATACATTTCAATGATATTGACGTTTAAAATTCAAACGCAAACTACGGTTCTATTAATTCCCATCTAAGACCTTTATTAAGTGTGTGGGTGAGGCCTATACATGTATGAACGTCTCTTAATATATATATATTACATGTAAACATCACCATATTAAATACTATAATGTATTTAGTAGAACCACACCAAGTTTTTGATTAAATTTGCTAACTGACATGATAATTAAGTGTAAAATACTTTTTAGGCCGATCGCGCCTGTGCTAATTTACATGCTCAAGTAGGTGTCGCGTTTCCTATTGAGATAATGCTAAATCTACGCGTTTGCTATAGTGAAATCTAATAATAATTTAAAAATTAATTTTTGTTGAATTATATGCTTTTCAATAAGGGAAATGACGAATGAAATAATATGATAAATTGCGTCTACTTTTTTACCCAAAATTTGAGGACAAGAAAATGTCTATGTATAGTAAAGTGTTTCGTGCCGTTGTGGGTTAATGTTAGTAGTGAATATTAAATATAAACGTTTGATAAGAAAATCAGGTTTAATGGAAGTGACACCTATAAGTATCCGTGTGAGTGTGCATATTCGAAAAGAAAAAAATAAATGAAATAGATAAAATTTCAAGATATGCATGTACCAAACGTCAAACATCCATCTATAGAAAGTAGGTGCGTAGGATTTTTTTGAGAAAAAATATTCGAAATTATTGGAATTTCTTAAATGATAGTTGAAAGGAAAGGAAAAAAGTCCAGGTATCCTCATATCCAAACAAGTTGTACTGTCATAAGATTTTAACCCTCTACAGCTAACCTCTTTTTAGGTTTAGGTGCACGTTTAGGTCGAGTTGATAAGCTATTAGCGGCTCTCCATTCGACAGGCAAAGCGAATCTGAAATCATCACGTGTAACCTCTTCAGGGAATTCCCAATATAGCTTCAGGGTGCTCACAACTTTCTGCAAAGAGGTTACAGCAGCCTGTAATGTCCACAAGTATTATATTCGTTTGTATACTGTACATTCATAAATGTGTTTGAATGAAAAATATCAATTACCTGATTTGGTTTAATAGTGTTCAACCCACCAATTAAATGATATTGTTCAATGGGAGATAATTCAGAACCGAGCAGAGCGGACAAGCACGCACTAGCCGATTCAGACAGAGGTTCCAATGCATATCCGCCTGTGGTAAAACAAAAGTGACACTAAATATAGAAATTATTTATTATAAGTAATTGATGAGAACGTTAAAAACCTTCGAGTGCAAGTACAAGTTTTCCGTTGGCAAAGTTTTTAAGCATTTGCGTCATATAAGCGTACCCTATTGTAAATTGAATTAATTTTCTGTTACGATAATACAATATAATAACGAAATAAGAAATACCTCGAGGGGTTATTTTGTATCCGCCAATCTGAGTGATTGATTAATCACATAAATTTACCAATATCAGAATAGATGATCACTAAAGTGACAAAATCCATACTTACACCATCCTCGTGTCCTTCGGCTGCATCAAATCCGGCAGACACTATCACGAGATCAGGATTATATTGTCGCGCAATAGGTAATACAATATATTCAAAGGCGGCAATATACTCAGTATCACCCATAGCTTCAGGTTCTATATATTAAACGCGTTACCAACATTGTACTCTAATAGATCTGCATATTAAATAAATTAAATCGATCGCTTACTATCTTTATCAGCTGAAAATGTTATATTGACATTTTTCCCTAATCCTTCACCTGAGCCGATATCAGTTGTTGGTCCAGTGTACGGGTAAAACGTACCATTTTCATAACGATGTAACGAGACATAAAGAACATCTCCACGATCATAGAAAAGGTTTTGTGTTCCATTACCGTGACTATAAAGAAATGAGATTAGCACTTACTGACGATTAAAAAGCAAAAGAATAAAATGCAAACTGAAATTATACGTACTGAATATCCCTACATAGCCATTAATTAAAGGCAAGATGTAGAATATTAAAAATAAAAAGACGCGAATATGCGTTGCTAAACCATTCCAATTACCAATCAACTATCAGGACTTTCTTAATAGCTTCATTATAATTTTTTAAGACCATTTTTGCGGCAATACCTTATAATTATTTGCTTATGAGTGAAGAAGGACTTGGGTAACTAAACAAAATCGCAATTTAGATTTGATACAAACCAACATTATTAAAATAACAAAACCCCCTATATATGAGTAATATAATCAGTATAAGATATAGACGAATGAATTTGTCACATGATACTTGGAGGGTATTTACATGGCTTGGTTATGTTCGGCATGATGACCAGGAGGTCGAACAACTGCAAAACCATTGACAACTCTAGTGCATAAAGAAAAGTCATTAGATTTTTATTATTAAATTGAATAGCTAATCAAGGAACTCACTTTCCAGACGCAACAGCATCTACCATTTCGATCACCGTGCCAGCAGCCATTCGTGCTGCATTCGGAGTTCCGGCTGGATTATAGGTTGTGTCACAGCTAATTCCTAACTCACCGCAAAGCATTTTGTCTTTAAGACTCGATGGTGCCCAGATTTTCCTTTCTTCAACATTGGTATTACTATTTTCTATTAAAGATTCGACAACGCCGTTGTTAATATTGGGCATCACGAGAGGTTTTGAGGAGAAATACGTGGCAACATGTCGGTCAAAGTGACATTCTTCTAATTCATCTTTTGAAGCCATCCGTGTTCGCAATCGCTTAACTTTACGAAGAAGACTATTTTACATCATTAGATTGTTAGCTATCATGTAAATGAGGAGATATGACAACTCAATTAATATAATTACCCTCGAGATTCAAATTTGTTCATGATTTCAATGCATCGTTCAGGCTTTTCTGGGTGCCGACTAAGTTGACGGTCTTCTAGGACGCAAGGACAATCATGCAGCAGCATGGTATCGTCAAAAATAACACCAGTGTGTTCTCTACTTCTACGTCCCTCATCGCTCGAATAAAATTCCTTGTATGTCTGCCACGTTTTAGAGTCGTCTCTCCCATTTGGTCCAAACACGATTTCCTGGGTGCACGCTCTAATACTGAGTTCCGTTACCATCTTTGCATGCTCCGGACCCCACCCCTCGAAATGGACAAAGATCCGTTCTTGAAGTTGTGGATCTATATGGGGAAGTTTAGGCGCGTCTATATCCAGGATTCGCGCCGCAGCTAAGGTGTTGTCTTCTCTTAGACAGGCCACTCGGTCTCCCACGTAGAAGACCCTTCCCTCAAGGACCACAAAGGGAAGGTTTGCATTTAGTTGTTGTTGTTGGTAGTTTCGAAACGATTTATCGTTCCTAACATATTTAGAAATAGCCTCTGGAGGAGGTTGGGTTATGAGCACCACAACCTCACTCCGAGGTGTCGCCATGTTATTACTGAAAAGCTTTAGGTGAAATCATAGTGCAAAAATTAGTATTTGCATATAGTATTTATTACGTGATGAGAAACCCGACAAATTATCCGTTATCCGTTAGTTCCACACATGCCACATGGGCGTTTCAAAAACGAGTTTCATAACATTTGAAATTTGATAAAAGATTTTTACGAAGAAACTTTTTAAAGACACCTTGCATAAACAAGGAAAGCAAGACATTCAAGAGGTTTAAGAAATTTACCTTAGAGGTTTGTTTATCGTTGTCTTCAGCAGTTGGTGTTGGTGGCCAGAAGTCCACCGGGTCGTTGACCCCATATTCGGTTGGACTATCAGGCCAAAAGTCCGGTGAGGGAGACCTATTCTCCACCCTTTGTTGCTTCGCAGGAATTTCTATAGTGATTGTAGAGCTCTTACGCTTCATGCTGTCTACAACAACGAGAATTAGCAAATGGTATATGACTAACGATACTAGAACAGAATAAAGTAAATGTAAAGTCATATGAAGAATAAATTAGAAGAATTCGTCGAATATTTATCCTAAAAATTTGTGGCGAATTACCAATCAGAAATGATATAAAAACCTCACCGATGGAAGAATTTTATAGGATGACGAAACATACACGTGGATTTACATAAACAGTTTATCCTAGTTTACGCAGAGAATATTCAATGTCTATAAATGTTGGGTATCACCAGAAATTTAATAAACAGATAAAAATTTTTAAAATTAAACTGTTTCTTATCTTTTCTGGATTATCCAACTAAAACTCCTTTAATAATATCCATAAATAATCTTATTTAGTCGACTTTAACAATATATACGTAATTCCAATTGAATGCCCTGGAAAAAGTAACTTCCCCAGTTTTAGTACGACAATCTTGCAAATGAAACTAAAAAATGGAATTTATGTGTCGCACATTTTCGGAAAAAATCTATTAAAGTAAATTTGACATGATGATCATGCATCCTAAAGGAAACATTAGCATCGATAATTTGTTAAAGAAATGCGAGTAAATAATTCTCAATATTAAAAAGTTGCATGAGAAATGTCAAGTCCATCTAGCATATCGGGATTCGTGTTTGACGATTTCTAGGTATTTATTTCCCTTTACAACGTGATTGAGTCGAACATTTTGTATATCACGTCCCCTACAGGAAAATTGTTTTTCTGATCTCGGGAATATCCAAATATTAATTATTATTTTTTGAATTAGGAATAATTTTATTGATAATGGTATTAATATTATGTTTTTTTGATAACTACTGTATTTAAACATGTTGATTGTTGTTTAATAGTGGTATAATATGATTATTATTTATTATTGCTTTATTAGTAACTGATATAACATAATTGTTGTTTTTAAATATCAAGTAAATGGATTTATAATACTAGTACCAATAAAAATAATTAAAGTAAAAATTTGTTTATTATTTACTTTTAATATACTTAAAAATTTTTAAAATCTTTTTTTTTAATTTTTTTTTATTGTTTTTTTTAGGCTCAAGTACAGTATATAGAGATTACTTAATTTATATACAATATATCTCATTAGTAAAAAACTTAATAAAATATAATATTCAAGTTTGAACTAGTATTATATTCATATATAAGAAATTTAATTATATTAATTTTATTAATAACAACAAAATTATTCAGTTATAAATTTTAAATAATTTATTGTTTTTTTTTTTTGCATGACTTTTTAATTTATTTAACAAATATTAAATTCAAAAATATTATAAAATTATTAAAACTTTTATATTTAAAAAAGCAAATAATAAATATATACTGTATATATATACAGTATAATTTATTTTAAAAATAGTTTTATTACAAAAAATAAAAAATTTTATAATTAAATCTTTAAAAATAAACTTTTAAATTTTTATTTCTATTTAAAAAAGAATATTTGAAAATACTTTTACAAAAAATTCAAATAAATTATTTCAAAAATATTTTATTAAAAAATTCTTCTTGAAAGGTTTTTTGCTTTATAATATTCTTTAAAACACAAAAATTCAATTTAATTTTTAAAATATATTTAAACAAATTTATTAAATAACAAATAAATTATAAATTAATTAATCTTCTATTTTTTTTTATAATTAAAATTTTTAATTAATTTATTTATTTTTAAAATTTAAAAACTAATTTATAAAAATTTAAAATTTAAAAATTATTTATAAACAAAAAAAATTATTAAATATTTTAATAATTAATTAAATAACTTATAAATAATATTAAACAAATAATCAAATATTATAATTATAAAAATTATTATATAAAAACTTTATTAAAATAATAAAATCATTTAAATTTAAAATCAATTTATAAATTATAAAAAAATATTATAAAATTATATTTTGAAATAATAAATTCATACTATAATAAAAATAATTTCAAATATCAATTTCAAAATATAAGTTTTTAAAAATAAGATATGTTTAAAATAAAAATATATGATTTAATATAAATCCTTATTTTAAAAAATTTTATATTTAAGAATTAAAGCTTTTTAAGGATTTTTTTTATTAAATAAAACTTTTATATTATATAATTTTTCCATAATCAAACAAATATATATATTTATTAAATCATTACAAAAAATAAATAATATATAATATATTCCACTAATCCTCTTGCCAATCCAAAAAAAACAGACATTCTCAAAAATATTTCTTTATTTTTAATAATAAAGTCTATATACTTTCTTTAAAAACTTTACTTTTTGAAGGCTAGTGCCTCTCCCACTTATTTTCCTTTTCTTCTTCTAAAAACTTTATATATTTCAATAACAAAATAAACAAAATTTTATTCATTTGATTTATGGCATAAATACTTTACTGGAAAGAAAAAACCTATCAAAAAAATACCCTTCATTATATTCTTCCTAGGTCTGAAACTCCAGAAAGTGAACCATTAGTAAATGTATTTTTCAAGCTTCATAAAAACCTTGGGTTTACTATAAGTAAACAATTTTTAGTTTAAAGCAAATAAATAAGTTATTTGGACTTATCAAGTAAATGCATTTCCCAAGCTTTATAAGAATCTTGGATTCATTATAAGTTAAACTCTTATAGTTCAGGCAGATAAATAAGCTAATAGGAATTTATCCCTTCAGATGTATAATTTTTCTTCATCAATCATATATATTTATGATAGTACTTTCAAATATGACAAATTTTTTTTTAGTTTTTCTGGAGAATTTTGTCTACCTCAGTTTGATCCTGAATTTTTTGTTATATCAGAATCTCTAATTGGTAATTGGCTGAAATTTTGGACTGATTAATTGACACGTAAAAGAAAAATAAACAAAACACATACTTCCATATGTTTCATATCATACTATATTACAATCGATAATGCAATCAGATAATAGCGAAAAAACAAAATGTTAAATATCTTTTTGATAAGAAATGGTTTGAAGTCTTCCCCCTCCCCTCTCGTGCCAGTTTTTTTTTTTTTCAAGATTAAAGAAGATTCTCATTAGGCTGGTGATTGGTTTAGATAGGTTTTTATTTACTAGCATAAACTTTTCCTTCTCTTTTATCTTCCCTTTACTTTTTAAAAAAATAAAAATTTTTTATTTCTTAGAACTACAAGGTTATATTAGGGTAACAGTCTAAATATAGGCTGGCATTAATTTCTTGGAATAAAGATCAAAAGTATCCAACTCTAGGAAAGAGCAACTTTATCATTCTCCACAATCACATCTAGAAAGTTAGGATTTGGAAAGTCTAAGATAATTAATATTACGTAGTAATAGCTTAATAAACCTACTTCCTTGTAATAAAATAGTTAGTATATAATTAAATTATGTAGGTAACATGGTGGTCTTGGTATTAAGGATTCAAGGATCATATACAAATCCACAAAATAACTTGTTGATAAGTATTCTACTATGTGAGAAAAAGTTTATCTTTAATATAATATCATATTGTATATATATTACTGTTTTTCAAATTGAATTAATAAATGCATTGCTTGCAGTTTGATTAGAGAAAAAAATAATAATAATAATATATTGTATATTGTATTATATAAACTATTCTATTGTCTTGAATACTCATTTTAGACTATATCTTTAGATATGACTTTAAAGATGAAAAAAATTATTCTCTTTACTATCTATTCACTTATAGAATTTGAAATTAATAATTATTATCTATAGTTTATTATTATAATTTTTTAAAACAAAATTTAGACTACTTGTTATATTTCTAACTATTTCTTTTTCTTTTTAATTTATTTTCAAATTGTTATTTTATTTCAGTTCTGACTTTGGTTTAGTTTTTCTTTAATAACTTTTTTTATAATTTATAAATTCTTAGCTTTATATGCTTCTTGTTTTTCTGTTTCTCATTTCGTTTATTTTTTATTTTTTATATGATTACTTTTCTATTACTTTTTAATTTCTGGCTTTTCTTTTAATTCTTATAATTTATAATATTTGTTATTTATATTTTCTTTCTAACCTGTTTACAAATTAATCTTGAAAATTTATATAATAGAAGTTTTATTTCACTATTTCTTTCTTCAGTAAATAAACCGAATGATGTTGAGATTTGTTATAAAGTATCACCCATTGTTGCGATTCTTGAATAAAGTTGTTGTTGTTCCTCTTGAATGTCTTGAATTGGGCTTGTGGCTTGTCTTTTTCTATGGTAGCTTGAGAAGGTATCTTCTGGTATTGACATTTGTGGCTCTGGTGTTGTATTACGGTTCATTTCATATTCAATAAATTCTACATCATCTTTTTTATAGGTGGTGTACATCCAGTAGGTATCTTCTTCAATATGACTAAGTCAGTTATCCATGTCTGTAAGTGTTGACTTGATTGTTTTTATTTCTTCCCCGAGTTTATAAATTGCTTGGAGAATCATGTTTAGTGATGTGTTTTTGTCTTGGCTATTGATACGTGCAAATGGATTTGCATGTTTGCTTGTGGAGTTATTGTTGAGTTGTTGTGTGTTTCTAACTGCTTGTGCAAACGATTTTTGTTGGAAGCATTTAGTGTTATTCAGAAATTTTTTTTATATAGTGGATGTGCCTGCTGATTTGTATCTACTATATAGATATTGATATTTTTTGATGTTGGTTTATTTTATTTTGAATCTTTCCTCTCTTGTTATTCACTCTTCACAATCTTTTGCAATATGGTTTGGACTGAGACATACTGTATAGAGTTTGTCTGTCATTTCATGCCATATGAGTTCTGTGTTACCTTGTGAGGCTTGATACTCTTTTGCTGCTTCTTTGTATTCAATGGATTCAAAACTAATTACTGCGAATCTCTTGTGCAAGTAGTTTTTTGTATAGGGGATGTAACAAATTTTTGCATGGGTGTCTGCTAGAATATGTTTTAGATCATAACCTATTGTTTCTGGTGGAAGGTTGCACAATTTGAGGATGTGTTGAT